ACGAAATGACGCGGCTCATTCGATCAGACCCGGTCACACATTCAAAATTGGTGAGGCCGAAATTCTCGTGAGAGGTGACAATCGTGCGAGCCCCGAGTTGCTTGAATCATGGTTTACGGGGCTCCAGTCTATAAATAAGGGCTATGAACTGACCAAGCCATACTCGGTGCTGAGATTCAGTTTGGCCAAAAAAATCCGCCACTCAGAGAACACACAGGCGAACGCATCTTCTAACGCCAGCGTCAGGTTCCCAGATTGCCGAGCCGTCATCACGTCCAAGTCCAAAACGTGTGATTAAAGTTCAGCAGGTCACGACCCGCACGTCGGGCATCAAGCAATTAGCGCACAAGCGGGCAACTATCCTCGGTAGGAAGAGCTGTTAATCGTCATAGGTACGCAGTAACATAGCGACTGTATCCTATAAATACTGCAACTCCTGGTTTCTGCTTTTGTCTTCTGGTGGATCCGCGACGGTTTTCGAAACATCAGGCGAATAAAGTTCTTGTTCCAGTGACCACAACTACTGCTTCTGAATTACTTCCTGGGACTCGCGTTTTCGCTTGTATTCGCCACTACCTAAATGATCAATCCAGAATCTACCAGATGGCTACCTGCCTTGCCCTTTTCACCAAGTCTTTTAAAGCTGGGTCAAATGAATAAGAAGACTAATTGATGAAGTTATATTTAATTTCGTCATGTGCTACTGCTCTCTGACTATGTCTCTGATGACGAATCCGCAACGGATCTCGAAAAGTCAGGTGAATAAAAGTGTTGTCCCAGCGACAGTAAACCTGAGCTGCAAGACCCCACCGGGGGCCATCAGTTTAATCACATTTGGGGGCAAGCTAGTCGGCCAGCCTACTACAACTTATGGGATCCACCAACTCTGATACGGTAAGCCGACTGCCCAGACAGGACTCTCTTAGCAGTCTGTTCGTACACGTACAGTTTTGGTACTCTAGATCTAACTGCTTAGGGCCGTTTTAGATTAGCTTACTTGGATTGATTTCACTTCTTGCGCTTGAACTTGATTTCGGAATCAGTAACTGTCATTAGGCAATTAACACGGTTGTATAATTGGAGAAGACTAGAAAAGTATTGATAGTACAATTACAGACAATGTCTCTAAGCTTAGAAGCAGCCAGATAGTCAGTTTACGCGAAAACAAGATGAGAATTCTAACGAATAATAAGGGAGTTAGGGGAAACAAAAAGGGAAAATTTGAAGATCGTGTAAACAGCAAAATTTATTGGATCCATTAATTTCGAGAGAGCTCATCAGTTGCTTCCTCTCGTTGCAT